GACTTATTTATGACAGATTTAAAATTTGACATATATTTTTGGCTATTTTTAGCAAAAGGGAAGGTTGGACACCACCCAACTTATTTATGGCAAAATTTAAATTTTGACACGTTTTTATTTATTTATTGATTTTTGGCTATTTTAGCAAAAGGTGTGGTTGGACACCACCCAACTTATTTATGGCAAAATTTAAAATTTGACACGTTTTTATTTATTTATTGATTTTTGGCTATTTTAGCAAAAGGTGGGGTTGGACCCGATGAGGGTTGCCTACGTATCTCACATCCGGTGAGAATCAAACCCGCGTAGTTCGGGCAATCAGGAATAAACAGATGAACTAACTTTTTTTTTTTGAATTTGCGAAAGGACTACTTTAAAAGAAGAAAGGAAGTATTATTATTATTTTTTTGATTGATTTTCTTTTTTAAAAGAAAGACTTCTAAGATATTTTTTTGAATTTTAGTTTTTTTTATTCTAAAGAAAAGAAGAAAATATTTTTCGGAATTTTACCTTTAATAAAAGAAATGCTTCTCAAAATGTTTTTTGAATTTTGAATTTTCTTTTCAATTTTGAAAGAAGAATCAAAATATTTTCGGATTTGTTTTTTTTATATACTATATTTATTATTATTTTTTTTTATATTTTTTAAAAAAAAAACAATTAGAAAGACTTTCTAAAGAAGTCAATAATGGAAAATAAACCTATTTTAAAAACAAGACTCTTTTTTTTTTACTTTCATTTTTATGGCAAGACAAACTATTTTCTTTTCTATTAATTTTTTTTTTAAGAAAAACAAGACAAAACAATGATGATTTTTTTCTAATTTTCCTTTGCTTTTAATAAAACAAACTAATAAGACATATTTTTTATTTTATCAAAATTTCGGCAGAGTTTCAACACTACTTGGACATTTGTTTTTTTCTAGTTATAAGTAGTTATATCTCCTCTTTTCGACTATTTTCCACTATTTTCTAATTTGTGGATGATGAAAACATAAACAATCTTTTTTGAATTTTCAATTTTATATATGTATACATATATATTTTATTTTTATTTTTATTATATTTTCAAAAATGTGGCATGAGGGACATAGGGAATTTCAAGACTTCTTGGATTCCGCAAATGTTCCCCATGTGCTTTTCCCAAAAATGAAGCATGGGGGACATAGAGAATTCCAAGACTTATTGGATTCCACAAATGTTCCCCATGTGCTTTTTCCCAAAAAACGAAGCGTGGGGAACATAGGGAATTCCAAGACTTCTTGGATTCCACAAATGTTCCTCATGCTTTGATTAAAATAAACCATGCTGGAAATGACCAAATGACTCATTCGCCCTTGACTAAATACAACATGTTGCACATAGGATGCCGAAAGATGGTCTATTATTTTCAGGTTGCTTGTCCTAGACGGACCCAACCCCTGTGTTGAGTCCCCTAAGTCAAATGCACATGATGCAAATAAACGCTCCTACTAGGGATCCGGCATGTAGTTGAGTTATTCTAGGTTCAAAACCTGGGTATTTGTTCTAGACAGTGTACCCGAGCGGACAACTCGAGTCGAGGAGGGGGCTACGTACCGGGGACCCGCGGGATCGTCCGGCTTTGTAACTTGTCCGACCTCTTTCTTATTTCA